GATGTCATTGGTATGGTAGTGTTATGATCATCCGGATCCGAATTTGTCAGGTCGCTAACGTTAATTGAGACATCACGACCGTTGATGCGCGCGATCTCACGCAAGACATCTACTGCCTCCTGCTTTCTATTTCGTGCAATCAGAAATTTTGGAGATTCCTTAAGTCCAAAAAATAAGATACGACTGACGAACATGAGAAATGTCTGGAATGAAGATGGATGAAAATATAAGCAAAGAAATAAAAATCAAATCGCGCCAAAGAAAAGAAACATGCCATGGCACCACAGATAGCCAACAAATATCTCCAACCATTGTTGTGCAGGTGGACATCGCACGGGGGAGAGTTAACATCATTTTGGAGACAACTATATGGTGGCAATATGAAATACGCTATGATCGAGGTGATGATGGATCCGAAAGGCCAGAACACAGACATGAAGGTGAGTAGGTATTGCTTATCTCTTGGCACAAATTCGAGAAATATTGCACCTGCGAGTTAATACAAAATAAAAAACATTAGAAGGTTATATGATTTTTAAGATCGGTTTTTCATTGACTCACCGTCTACTGGCAAATTTCCCCCAACACCGCTCCCCAAAAGAAACATCGATATGCACAATTGCGCAAAGTTTTGCGAGAGACTCGAGACTAGTCCAAAAATCGCTGTCAAAGCTAGCGTCCAATTGAAAGCTTGTTTACGACCGAACGTATCCGAAAAGACACCCCAGTATATAGCTCCGAACATCATTCCAAATATGAAAGAGCTGGGCAGAAAACCTATTAATGAGTTTGATACCTGAAAGTGCGCTATGGAGAATGATGAAAAGTGTTTACAATATCTCCCATTTATGATATGCAAACAGTAAAATTAAGTTACTTTGTACTCGCGGTAATATCACTGATGTAGCCTGTTAATCATAAAAATAATGAATGAAAATTCCTTCTTGTAACCGGATTTTCGAGTGAGAAACCGCAGATGATCACACACCTGGAACCATAGCTGAAATAATAATAATAATAATAATAATAATAATAATAATAATAATAATAATAATTTTTTTTCTTTCACCGTTAGACATGAAATGGTTTAATGTCGAGTAAAGACGAAACGTTTTTTTATCGTACATTGTCGGCAAACCAACCAAAACCGCATAACCACTAATGATAAAGGGAAAAGACAAGATCGTTAGTATTTCAGAGTTCAGACTCAACCAATCCAACCAATAAAGTAAGATAATTGCAAACCAATAATCTTTTTTGGAATTTTCCCATTCCAATTTTTTCAATAATTTCCTCAAAACCTGTTTTCGATGAGCCTTTTCCGTTAATTACGATCAAATCGTCTTCATCGTCGTTATCACCGGGTAGAAATACTTGTTCATCCGATGAATTCTCATCTTCCTCTTCCGCTTCAGCTGCTCCTGTATCCTGGTCACGATCTATAGATGTACTGTTCCTCGATAGAAATCTATCACGCTCAAAAATAATCGACCGCGGTTCTAGAGGGTTCATTTTGATAAGTTAAAGAAGAGATGTAAAATCAAGAAAGAGGTTAGGTGGTATGTTTCTATTTTTAAATAACTTGCGGCGTGTATTAAAATTTGTAGTCATCAGAATATTCACATCTGTAATAGGCAATCTATATAATTTATATAGTTTCATGTACGGACTCACATGCTGTGAATAACGCAAAATAACGATAGGCCGAAATCATGCGAGGGGAATTCAACAATGCCATTCCTGGAAGAGAACAAAATCCCCTCTTATTGACATTTAAACTGTGCAAGTATGTACGCACACACGTTACGTGCATGCGCAAAGGGAGATTTGGCAAAATTTACGATTTGCAGTTTTTTTTTCTTTTTTGCTAACGACATGAATTCAAAATAATACATGACATTACTGTATATAGTGACGTAGGTTAATTCACCGGATTCTTTTTTTTTTTGATCATAACATTTGTTCGGCTGCATAAATTAAAGATGCATGTGTACCTTAATTACAGTATCTTATCTAAGCCTTCGTTAAAGCCTCGACGTTTCTGGTCCAACTTGATCCCAATAATATTGACATAATTCCTTACTCATTAGTATGAGTTTCCAACATTAGGAATAGGATTGACTTTAAAGGAAATCGAATTTAACACCTCGTTTGCGTCCAGCCGGACCTTTTCGTGATGCCAACAAGAAATTAAAGGTGTAACCATTGTCGAAAAGGAAATTTATAATGCTCATACTAGTGGACTTTAGAAGTTCCTTCTGGGGAGTAGCACGAACCATGAAGGGGAAAAGGGCCAAACATTTTTTTATAACAATTCGACAATTCACGACGAACGAGATTTTTGTGAAAAAAAAAACCCCGAAAATTAATTATAATAGGACAGAGTTAGTGTTATATGCTGCATTCACTTCTCTCGTTGGACGTTTTGGGTTGATAACATGACGTATATTTCGCTTTTTCCGTTGTGTTTTCTAACCGCATTATTCGGATATCCCATACTCTTGTTGATATTTTTTTGCCCTATGTTTGGTGAGTTCAAGTTTTTCCGACGTGGTGTCAATCACGCTCCCTGATTCCATCTAATCTTATTGATATTTAGAAATCCTAAAGATCGTGGGATTTCTTGCAACGAACGGAGCACTCAACATAAACTGGATAATAGAGATATTGTAATTCTTTGAAAATCAGCTCTTTCCTTTTGATTGACTGTTAACATACACGCTAATCGAGCGATTGGCGATTCCATAAATCTGCAGATATTTGTCAACGTCGCTATTTGTAATAGGTAAAAAATAAGAGAAGGGAAGAAAAAAGGGGAGAGGGAGAAGGAAGAGCGAGAGCTCCCAATTTTTCTCTTAATCAAATTTAATCGTCAATGATAATTAATTGATTCCTTTGAATTCCACAGTTATGGGAATCAGTTATTGCCTGTTCAGTAAAATATACGAATCTAATGTTACAACTCTCGAGAGAGTGAACCAGCGCATAAAATATATTTTCATGTGTGTTCATTTTTCATATCATTTAATCACGCATTTCGACAACATTTAATAATACCTCATCGAAACAGTTTTTCTGGACCATTTCTATGGGTAGCTGTGCCGGGTCAGTCATTTTCTTCAAATTATGAGATTAATTCAATTTCACCGATATCTCTGACCCTTTGCCTTAATTCCCAATTAAAAGTCGTTTACACCTACTTCACGATTCACGAAATGGGTGACATACCATTCGGTTGCCCGCCAAATTACAATTACGCCACGACGGCGATCCATTCTGCGTGTAATATTCGAACTGCAAACTTAATATGCATGTGGGCTTTCCCCATCCTGTGCGTATTGTATCTCCTCTCGATTTCAATGCTAACATCTCTCTCGAAGGGTTATAAAAAGCTTGACGAACGAAAGGACAACGAGGAAGCCTCGAATTCAGAAGGGCGCGGAGAGGCGTACAACGAGAATGAATATAGGCAGGCTTTGACCGAGATACTTTACACGGAGCCCAAGAGCATGGATGCGGCCTAGACTTTGGCTTGCACGGATCTTTTGTAAGGGAATTCATGATGGAAGAAGGGGAGACCTTCGTTCTCAAGAATAAATAAATGGTGGATTCTCCATGGAATAATTTTATCGGAACCTTCCTCGCGGACTCCCTTGCAGCCACCACATAGCCCGCAGATATCGGGATGAATATGTATCATAATTAACCCTATCCAAATATATGTATTTATTTATTTATTAATTTATTAGATACTTCGTGACTACTCATTATGGTTTATTCATTATCATCATAATTCCATTTTGCATCAAAAAAAATTTTTTTTACTTAAAGTATTTATTTTAAATTCGAATAATTTATACATTAATATCCAATAAATTTCTAAATCTTCTTTTCTTTTTTTTTTTTTTACACACATATAATACAATCCAAAAGAAAAATCATTTATTAAAATTATATATTAAAAGACTTTTTGCATGCCATATTTTTCTCATAAATACAGTATATAAATCATAGCATATATTGGCTTTTTTTTCAGTCATACGGCGCTGTGCATGGAGTTTAATTAATCTTAAGAAATCGGACGAAGCAAAGACCATTCTTCTTTCAAATTACGATTTTTCTCAAATTCGCAAAATCCACCTCCATCTTCTTCGCTTCAGTTGACCGTCATTAATCACCGTTGTTGCCATTTCCAATTGAAACAATCGAAAATAAAGATTAATTTAGTTGAGAACACCAATGACTTTTACAAGAAATTTTTATGAGCCTACGGGTGAAGAGCGGAAAGGTGAATATATATTCGAATTAGGATCGTCTACGTTGCGCATCCATTATAGATATACTACAGTATACTATCGAAAATTTTTGTACTGTACGTAGTCAAAACAAGCACCCAGAAAATTTTGGCAGAGCTCCGTGTGGTTTTACACACTCTCCGCTTTACTTTTAAAGAAACTTGACATGATCTATACACATCACATACACGAATTAAACTAAATTTAGGAAGAAAATCCGCAAACGCCGATCGAACCGAGAAAATTACGTAAATATCATCACTACTATTAGTAATATACGAAAATTTTTTTGTGATAAGAAATTGATGTAAGATATATAAACCGGCGATTTCTAAATTCTCCCCAACTTTTTTGGTTTCCATTTTTTTTTTTTTTATTTTTTTTTTGAGAAAGATACGCGATTTCATTCAACAGAATAAAAGTTCTCACGTGAGTAGCCAAAATGCTGTATCATTATTTGTGTTTTTTTGTAAGACGGTTAGTTCCCAACTGACGTCGCGTTTTCCCATTTGTCATCATCAGAAATTTGATCCTAAAATCATTTTAAAAGACGCGTTCGCTCAGTTATCTCCAAACCTTCGTCTCAAATTTTACATTTGCTTCACGAGCACTTTTCATTTGAGGAATCTGAATCAATTGAATCCTGACATAATCTCGAATAATTTCACGTCGATCCACAATGACTTCACCGCAAGAATCAGTTGATCTCATCAGCTCATATGATGAAGCGCAGAAGGAACAATCCAGTATATCCATCATCACTCAAGAAAACACAGGCGTCGATTCTTCCCAACAAGTCAGCTCATATGATGAAGAGCAGAAGAAACAATCCAATACATTCATCATCATTCAAGAAAACACAGGCGTCTATTCTTCCCAACAAGTCGATCTCATCAACTCAAATGATGAAGAGCAGGAACAATCCAGTATATCCATCGTCACTCAAGAAAACACAGGTGTCGATTCTTCCGATCTCGCCGATGTAGATCATCTGACAGTATCAATCTTACCTTCTCTGGATCTTTTCGATTTCTCCCGAGATACGGTAAAGGAACAAGAAATAATGTCGAAAGATTCGCCTGTTGATCATGATGGTTCGGAGGAAGAAGAATTATTCCTTTTATTTGATTCGAATTCCATTAATAACCGAATCATCGAAAGCAACGCTGAGGGGACTGATGACAGTGTTGATAAAAAAAACCTTACCGGCGAGCATGATGAAATTTCCAAGGAAGATCAAACTTCGGAAAGCGGATTGCGTGAAAGCCAATCCGGTGATGTCTCGATGATAAAATCAGAAGTAGATGGCATTATAACAAGGTATAGAAATAAGATGGCAGAAGTCCTTAATAATTCCCATTCCGAATTCGATACTCAAATGGATAGGACGTACGACGATATGATTAAAGATGCCGACAATATTGGGATAAGTGCAATAATAGGACTGATTAACGATCAACTAAAGGATATTTTCCAAGTATGCGCAGATCACTTTGCCGAAATCGAGCTGAATCTGGGTTCTGAAGTGAGGGGAATTAAAGAACGCGAATCAAAAATCAAGAGTGTTATCGATATTGCCATCGATAAAAAAATAATCAAGCTGCTAGAAAATGACAGGACCACTCAAATCATGTCTGGAGTTGCGTCCTTAATAGAAACCAGAATGAATGAGTACGCCAAAGACTTCAGCGAAAAAGTCGATCGGATAGAAGGCGATTTCCGGGAGCTTGGAATTGCAAAAGCGGAGGATAAGGGTATTGTCGAAGCAATCACCGAGACGGAGCACAGGATGAATGATCGGTACGAGTACCTTGACAAGAAGGTTTCCGTTATCGAGAAAACAGAATCTATGATTAGGGAGAATGCTTTAAACATCGATACCATGGTTGCGACATTGCAAGGAAATTTGTCACAGCTAGATGAGAGATTTTCATCAATGAAGGATAATCAATTTGAGAAGCTAAATCTTGAAGTTGAGAAGTTAAGCAAGCGTGTTGTCGAATATTTTTGTAAAATTAGTGAAGTCGAAAAAGAATCATACGTGTTGAGGGAGGACATAGAAAAAATAAAATCAGAGAATGACGCTTCTAATAGTATCGATTATGTACGAGAGGGGTTGGGAAAACTCGAGAGTAAATATGATGAACTCAAAGATCAATATGCTAAATTGCTTGAAGCCAGACCCAACATGGAGGAAAGTATGCTTTCAGTGGAACAACGGTTGCGAGACGAGTTCGATGAAATTGTAAATGGCATCGTGAGACAGCTTGAAGAAGATAGAGCGGATAAATGGAAACAGATTGTCGAAGCCGTGAAAGACGAGGCCGGTAAAGTAATGGAACGGATCGAAATAATGGAATCCGTGGAAGGAGTTTTGAGAGAGGAACTCACAGCCAAAGAAGAAGAAATCAAGGAGATAATTGGAAAAGATCGCGTTACCTTCGATCAAACTATCCAAGAGAAGGTTCGAGAGACTATCGATTCATACACTACGGAATGTGAAGAAAGATTGAGGCAGCAAATCCGAGAAGCGATGCGTCAATATGAAGAAAAGGTCAACAAACTTTCGGATTCATCTTTTGAACTCGAGCAAACATTCACCGGAGAAATTAGAACTTTGACCGATCGGAAGATTCGTTCTATCGAAATTGAAAACAATAAGTTGAAAGATTCGAAACGTCATTACAAAGAAAAATTGGTACAAAAAGAATCAGATATCAGTGATCTGAAGGTGTGCGTCAATCAATACGAATCTCAGGTTTGCAAGCTCGAGCAAGAGAAAACTTATATGGAGAAGAAAATAAATGATATAAAACTTGAAAAGAGACAGATAGAGAGCAAAGTAAAGGAACTCGAGTGCAGGTATCACGAAGTAGACAAACGTTTTCAAACAAAGTTCATGTCTAATGAAGAGGAATTAAGAAAAATTAAGATTGAGTATGAAAGACAGGAAAAGCGATTACAAAAGAATGAGTTCGAAAGGACAACCTATAAAAAATGGTTTCACATCATGATTTTCTTTTCTTGCGTACTGCTAATTTTTTTGATTGCTTGTTTTTTCAGGTGAGGATTTTTGTTTGCTTGTTTTTGATCACATCAATTCATATTTACACTGTTTGTCTCCTTTTAGCGAACACCTGGTTCTTTACACATCCCTAGAAGCTCCACCTCAGTGATTTGCAGAATGCCTCGAATTTGTCATCCGATGATTCTGATTATATAAAAAGCTCCCCGAATTTGGCATACTAAATATTATTCACATGTGTACTCGATGCTTCTTGTAAATGAGATGTTAATGTTTCTTTAAATAAAAATTTGTGCACGCCTAAATAATAAAGATAACCCGCGTCATTGCAATGTATAGCATAAATCACGTCTTCGTACGCGCATAGTAGTCACAGTATTTCAAGCAGTACAATAATTACGAATATCCAGTGTATTATTATACAGTATATTTGTTTGAATCTTTTTAAGTTAAATATTACTCAACGAAAGTTAATGAAATTTATTTTATTTCTTCTAAAGACATATACTGTATATATACTGTACATAAATGTAATATAGAATATGGAGTACCAAATTTATATTATTCACTGTATGTATTTTTGAAGTACTTTTTTCTGTATCGTTTTTTCCCCTTTTCACCATTTCCTACATAGGTAAAAACAAAAATTTTTTCCTTTCCAAAATTTATATTCTCGCTTTTTTGAATTCTCAGATTACAGCAGATTTCGGATGTTTCTTTTTTTATTTCTCCAATGTAACCACTTTCCTTCGTTTCCGCCTGACTACTGTCGTCGGAAAAAGGAAATTGTAAAGCAGTATCAACCAAGTTATCGTGATGGTGACTCGGAATTGGCGAAGATACTACCGGGGGAAAAATGTATCCAAGATTTATCGAAAAAATGGTGAGGATCGCAAATAATAATAGTTTGTGACCGAAATTTTTTGATACGAACATTTTTCGTGTAAACGAAGGGAAGAAGATTATTGCATCTGATTCATGAAGTATTGCACACTTTTTAAATTTCTTTTAGCGTGATCAAGTTTCGTTACTTGATTAACGAGTTTTAAAGGTTAATTAAACTGACTACGTACAGTAGTTACAGTAAATTCTGATAGAAAGATCACCTAAAAAAAAAAAAAAAAAGCTTTTTGAATATGATAGTGTCGTTTGTAGTCAAATATAAATACCTGATTCATCTTTCTTTAATAGTTTGCCGGTTAGCCAAACCGAATTGACATCATTTATCAATAACGAGAAGCATGAGAAGCATCTTGAATATGAGCAAAAGTGCGTAAGTCAGTCAATGCGCAGACCTCGGTGAAGGTCAAATGACCAAGTTTTTTTTAATTTCCTTCAACAGCGAGTTTCTTTCTTCGTTGATTTCTTTAATAGCTCCTCGTTTTCCCGTCGTAACTTGTAAATGGAAAATATCATGGTTGTATATTTGGGGGCAATATTCGTACTCAAATCGTGTATATTCCAAATAATAAAACTTTCCAACTTACTGATATCAGATTTTAGCTAACTCTCTGCTATTCTGTCAGCCGTTGGTGGATCTATTTATGCCTACCCTTCCTTTTTCTCGGATGTGAGAAAGATGACGATCATGTTCATTTATTCAAGTTGAGATTCTTAATAACTTAAATATTTATGATGTACATAGTTCAGGATAACACTTTGTTTCACTGGACGATGAAAAAGAAAACGAAATTACAGTATGTCCGAGCACGATGACACGCGTAGCCTCACGTGTGAAATATCATTCACGAAGACAATGACGCACTATACTATCTAATGAGTTGTATCCTGGATTTAATAAAAGTTGATTGGATTACTCATATACTACCCTCGTATAGGGACAGTGACCTTTAGATGAGGTAGCAATATGCTAAAGAGGTTAAGCCAGGAAAAAAAAGAAATTTTAAGTAGAATGCTTGATAATTTCTTAAGATGAAGAGTTACTTTGATACAATGAAAACAAAGTCATATACCCATTGTTTTATTAGAGATTACAAAAAAATGTTTTATCAAAGTCCTTATCAATAGAATGATAAATATTTGCAAGAGCAATAATATTCTCAAAGGATCTAACTTTGTGTATCTATCAAAAAAAAATACAACGGAATCAATTTAAATTTTCAATAATATTTATGAAAATATCAGAAAAAATAAAAAGGAATTGAAAATTTGATAATTAATATCTAAAAGATGTTTTTATAGAATAATAGTTATATATATTATAAAAAATTTTTTCCACTAAAATTAAATTAAAATAAGATAGGCAAAGAAATTTGAACCATCTAACATGATTTTCAGTAATAAAACATTTCTATACTGCCAATAAATTTTGTCAAGATTTGTCAAATATTAGTATGCCAAATTTTAAGGCAAATTCGTTAAATGAGACTTATGAAAGATTAGTCACAATGTTTAAATTAATAAAATGAAAATATAGAAAAAAATTTTTATTCTGAATTTTCATTTTTCGTTACATTTATATGAATACATATGTAATTATAGTCATTGTATATATTTTGGTACTTTTTATTTGAGAGGATAAATAGTATATTAGGTAGGTTTTTGAATAAATTTAATATTCAGAAGTATAATTTTAATAAATTTACAAAATAATTATCAATGGATCTGAATATTTTTAGGTAAATTCTTGCATCTGAAAAAATCAAATTTAGAAATGCTTATTGAAATATTAAATCTATTAGTCAAATATTATTAGGTATTATATGAAACTAATGGACTTTCAGAAGTTATTATGAAAGATAATAAAAATTGATAATTATTTGAAATAAAGTAGATCAATATAGTAGACATCAAATTAAAAGTAAAATATTTGATTCTATTATATTCTCATGAAATATTAAGTATTCATTTATATTAACTCAATTTGTAAATTATAATAAAAATAATAATTTATATCTGAAACAAATTCAATTTTTCTTTACACATTCAATAAACTTTTTGAATAATTTTATAGAACATTGATTGGTCTTTATTAAGTAATACAAACTGATTATTTTGATAAAAAATAGATTTTATTTTAGATCTGAAAATATATGAATATTGAATTACAAAATACTGAATTTTACTTAGTTAGATATGAATAAATAATTTCTATTTATAATATTTTTGGTTAATTTATTTTATTTAAATATGGAATCTCGAATTGATTTTAAAAACAATATATAATTAAAAATTTGATAAATATATAAATTTTGATAAAATTAAAATTTTAACAGATGTTAAATAATTTTTTAAGAAAAATTTTAATGAAATATATAGTAAAAATAGTGTAAATTATATAAAAAATAATATTAAATTATATAATAAAAATTTATTGATAATTTATTTATATCAAATTATATAGTAAAAATTGATTAACAATTTATACTGTATATATTATTAATATATTGAATTATTTATTTTTTTGATAAATATTAAATAAGTAACATTATATCAAATAAATATTTTTTGTTTAGTAATAATCCTAGTTATCATATTGAATAACTGAAATAAAAAAAAATCCATTATTACACAATATCATCTATAACTTATTTTTATTAGATCAGGATAATTTATAGGTATTATGAGATAACTGATATCTTATCAGCATTTTGATAAAATAAAGAAGAATAGAACTAAGCTTGTGGTTAATCAGAATAAAGATTAGATTAATATTAGATATCTTAATGATTTTATCAATTGTAATAAGTTATCACAAATTAAGAAAGTTGAAATTCTGAAAAGAGTAAATATTGTATTAGTAGAATGTATAAAAGCATAATTAAATTTGGATAAAACTTATTATTGGAGACCTTGATGATAAAAAAAATTTATAGATTATGTTAAAGTTTCAAATCTGAAAATAAACTAGAGCAAATGCAATAGTTTGATAATTAGATTACTCTATTAAATTGTTTTAGGAAAATTAAAAGAGCATTGTATGATTTTTCTTAATGGGTTAGTTAGTATATATAATATGTAATATATTTAATATATATAAGTTATCATATATAGTATATAATATTATTTTAAAATAAATAAAAACTACAGAATCTGATGCTCACTTAAATAAAGAATCAGTTGAATTGACTTATTTGATATCACAAATAATAAAAGAAAAAACTTTTTTCAAAATTCAAGTAAAACAAAAAAATTATTTCTATTAAACAGATTTTTTTAAAAAAAATTTGTTTTTATTTTTGGACTTTTTTTGTAAGTCTTGAATTGTATTTTTCCTTGAATTATTATTATTATTTTTTTTTTTTTAACTTAATAATTTATTGGTTTTTGGATTAATTAATAATAACAAACTATTAACAATAATTTTGGTAAATAGAGATTATAACCAATTTATTAGAAGAATATAATATTGTTTTCAAAATTTGACTTAGAGTACTTATATATAAAGACAAGTTAGTTATATTATAAAAGTCTATAAATTATTGTAGATTTTGGTTTGATTTTTTAATAAGAACAAACCATTATGGCATAATTGTGGATTATAAAAAAACACAATTTTTATTACATTTTTATAAAATATTAAAATTTATTTATATTAATTTGATTTATAGTTACAATAAAACTATTAATTTATATCTAAGATAAATTTAAATTTTTTATATATTTAATAATATTTTTGAATAATATTATTGAATATCTTTATTTAGTAATACAAATCTATTAATTCAATTAATATAGATTTTATTTTAAATTTAAAAATACTATAAATATATAATTTTTATTTATAATATTTTTGATTAATTTATTCTATTTAGATATAGAATTTTATATAAATAAAATTTTTATAAATATTTAACTATAGTTTTTTTAATTATAAGTACAATATATAATTAAAATTAATTATTTTTTGTTTATATAAACAAAAAATAACTTAAATTAGATTATAATAATTTCAAGTATATATTATAAAAGCAAATATATATTATTTGAATATATTATAAAAAATAAATATATGTTATATCTAAAACTATTATAGTTTACATATCAAATATATATATAAAACAAAAGGACATCACTCTTTC